TCCTGCTCCGGGGATGAGAACCCGCACACATCTGACACTGGCACATGGCGACATGTTTATGTGTTTATTTACATGGCACACACGGCTGAGCACTCTGAGCCAGCCCTGCGTTAAGTGCCAGGGCTTTTGAGATGACTGAGGAGAGGGCCTTGGCCTCAAAGGCATTCATGGACTAGTGAAAGGGGTAAATGTTTTACAATTCAAGTCAAATGTGTGTGTGTATGCATGTGTATTTATGTTTATAAACATCTGTGTGTGATATCTCCACACACATGCGTACATACACAAAGAGGGAGAGGAAGAAAAAGAGAGGCAGAACAGAGTTTGAGCTGAGATACAACAAAGTTACTGGATTGCCAAAAAGCCAGAAATGGTGACTTTTATCAAATCTCAGACGACAGAACCCTGTGTTTAAGTGATCCCTAATCCCAATCACTGTGTATGTAGTACCACCTACATACCATGAACTGGGCTAAGTGATTTCTAAGCACTATCCTGACAACAATTTTACAAGGTAGAGCATTGTGTTCCCATTTTATAGAAAAGAAACTGAAGCTCCAAAAAGTTAACTTATTTGCCCAAAATTAGCTAGGAAGCAGAAGAGCCAGGATTGGAACCCAGGTTTCTCTGGCTCCTAAGCCCAAATTGTACTTCATAATGAAGAGGAAAAAACATCCAAAACATCTATGTCAACAATCACTAGCATTGCAATTGCAAGCAGGTGGCTTCACTAAGCCAGTTACCACTGACTGCCCAGCTCACAGCCAGCGCCTAGGTGGCAGGGTGCCCTCAAGATGATGGAAGAGTCAGGATGAGACTCCAGCCTTCAGGGCTTACAGAGCAGTGCTAGAGCCAGACAAGGAGCACGGGCATGCCAGAAAGGGAGCCACAGGTTTCTGGGGATGGCCAGCTTGGGGAACCAGTCAGGAAGGTTCCTAGGGGAGACCATGCCTAAGCCTGGCTGTGTCTTGAGTAACAAATAATTAGGCTAAAGAAGGTGACCTTGTAGCCTGGAGACACAGTCCAGACCATCTAGGATGAGAATGAGCACATCCGGGTCCAGGAACCACAGGTGACTGAGGACGGCGGCAAGTTAGCATACGTTGCACTTGTGTATTGCTGGGGGCTTTTTGCCATTTGTGTTCCAGTTGGGGAAATAACTGCCACACCCCTAAGAGATACATGATACTTGCCCAGAGATGATTTAGGACAACTCACCATAAAAAGTCCACACCACTCTTGCCCCTGTGGGAAGTTCTGCAATGCGCAGCTTGGAATCTACAAGGGTTTTGAATCTGTGAGAGGGAGGATGCGGCTGCTGCTCAAAGCAAGAGCTCTGGTTTCCATGGACGGAAGCAAGACCCACTTCCTCGCCTCACCAGCAGGTCTTAAATAACACGCCTGGGCTCCCCTCCTGCTGGGGGCAGGACCACGGGGTCCCCTGGGGAACTTGGATACAAACAGCTCAGCTTCCCTGCCCTTACTAGATCTTTTTTTAAACCGACCGGGGAGAATATCTAATGAATAGTCAGGGGGCAATTGGGCATGGTGACCCTTCTTATTCTCACCCCAGTGCCACTCTTCTACTGGTGGTCTTGGCAAGTCATTTACCCTCGCTCAGACTTAGTTTCTTCATCTGTGAAATAGGCTACCACCAGCCCTGCCTGGATTGTAAAAATTAGAGACTGCTCAAGTAAAGGGATTAAGACAGTGCCTGTTACATACTGAGGAGGATCTTCAAAAAGGACAATTACTACAACTATACTTCAACACTTAAAATGCTGCTCTGTTCTCTCACCTTCCTCTTACCAAATGCTGCTTTTGAAAGCCCTCTTGCTTCTCCATCTCCCTTGTCTGGGTCCCCGCACATAGTGGCTGTACTTTGGACAAAGCTGTTGGCTGTCATTCTCTTCAAATTTGTACGTAAAAATCTTCTCTCTCCAACTAGATCAAAGCTCTCCAAGAAGGTGCAGGTGAGGTGGGAATGGGGGGTGGCCTTCTGATATCTGCCAGGACTCCTTCAGACCACTAATCCAGGCTCTGGGCACACTGGTGAGCATTACAAAAAGCAACGGTCTCTACTCAAGTATTGTCCCGAATGACTTATGCCTGGATGTGAGAAATGGGGAGGGGCTGTGCACCAGCTCTCTGAGACCTGAAGCCATTGATATATCGCTAAATTTAGCACAAACCTTATGATGTGTGTCTAGATTGCATTGCCTTCTTTCCCTGTGATAAGACATGTCTCTCTCTGCCCTAGAGAGTCCTTGGGTCCACAATACGTTCCCAGCTTTGCTCCTAAAAGGTGTGCATGAGATCTGGTCTTTGAAAGGAATGCAAGAAGTGTGTTTGTCTTTTTTGAAGAGCTAAGATATAGGAGAGTAAAGGGAAGTGGTTAAAATAACTGCCTGGGCACTGTATTATTTCTGAAATTAGGAATATGTTGGCAATGAAAGTACAGTAATTCTGTGAAAACCCCAAACAGTTGTCAAGAATTAGCTGCTGCTCCATTCCCTATGGCAAGAAGCAAGGAACACAAAGGCAGAACAAGGTGCGCACCACAGACACGACATCACAGGAGCCCGAAGCTGGGAAGGCATGCTTCCAGACAGTTTTCCAGAGGGTGCATTCAACTCGGCCAAGCAGCCTGATGCCACAGCCCCCATTTTCTTCTACACATGAATATAGAATAGTATGAAGGAAGAAAGCTGTTTTTTCTTCAATCTTCCTCACATGCCTTTCTGACTTTTCTCTTTTTCAGTAATGAGAATAACAATGATTTGAACCTTAGAAATAGCAAAATCAGTGGCAGGGTGCATTTCACATGAAGCATACCTTTATTATCTTAAATCTTCTTCCGAGATTATATGAGATTTGGAAACATAAAATGCAAGTGCATTGTAATAAAGAAAGTCAGTCCTTGTAAATACCAACTAAAGTGTCATAATAAATGTCTCTGTTTTGATCAAATATTCCACATTTGTCTTTTTTTTTTTTTTAATGCAGCTAACAGCGCTCTTTGCAGCCCCCCAGTGGATGGAAGGGGAAAGATGGAAGAACAAGGAGGGATTCAGATAGCACTCCTGTGCTGTATGGCAGATCAACTTTTTACACTGGGAAGACAAATGGCTTGTTTGCACCGAATGAATATGTTCTTAGTGGGGAAGATGAAAAGTGTTTGTTAAAATGCACATAATTATAAACATAAGTGAGAATCACTGAGAGCCTAGATTTTTTTTTTCTTTTTAATCTTTCTCTCTTATCTCTGCACATCTTTCCATTCCAACCTGAGAATTCAGCAACGCATAAGCACACCAAGTCCTCTTCCCAAACAAGTTTTCCCCCAGTAAGTACTTCACTTGCTGGGAGCAACCTTGTTTGTAGCCATCTGTTTATAAATAAACCATTTGTTCTGCTACAAAGCGATGAAAAATATTCAAAGACATGTCATTTGCCTCTTTAACAAAGTGTCTATGTTGGGAAAGGAGAGCAAAAGGTTTGGAAATTCACCTTTTTTATTACTGTTTTCACCAAAACAACAGTCTCTCAGAATGATTCCTTCATATCAACAACTGTTTTACCACACTCTGTGACATTCTCTTAATGAGTTTTTCTTTGTCTTTCCCCCAAAGAAAATGCGTATGGTGTGCAGATGAAGGGGGTGATGATGAAAAGAAATAAGATGTCTGCTTATAATATAGTTCCAAAACCATGTCCCCACAAAATTAAAAGATGACAGAATAACAGAAGCTCCCCTGTTCTTCTCAAATTTATCACTCAAAAGTTGAGAGAGAAGTATTCCTGAGGCCCCCTCGCCCCACCATGGAGAGTAATTAAACTAGGTATATACTCCCTCCCTGAGCCACTGGTAAACTGTAGTTTAAGCCAGCTTGCAAATCAGGTTGCGTCTAATAGAGAGTCTCTTTTACCTATAGGCACAAACCTCTGTCCTCTGACAGTCAGCCAAGATTCCAGAGACCACGGTCCCGGTTCCTTGTTGGCTGGCATTTAGGCCACAGCCCTCAAACCACGCATACGCCCGCCTTGTCAACAGCGCAGAGAATCAACAAGTTATCACTAAGCTTGGCGCTCAAGCCCACATCTGTCACTGCCTCCCCTGCTACCCCCAACCCCCGTACTCCTTGCCTGTTTCTCCCCCCACAGTCCGGCAAACACGCGACCTTCTCTTTCTGATCCGCCCTCCAGGCGCCCACACCCCGGCGCTCTTCACTGCGCTCCCAGGCAGCTGTCAAAGTCCGCGTCTCGCCAGCCTACAGTCTCCTGACAGCGCCGGCGTTCACCGGGATCTGGCTTCCTTCGGGGCTGGGGGCAGGGAGGTCAGGATATCCAGCCGAAGCCGGGGCGGAGGAGGGGCGCCTGGATGGGCGCCTCTGCCGCGGGGAGCCCAAGCGCAGTCGTTAAGGCTGTGGGGAGCACCACGTCTCGCACTTCCTCCGGGCCCCGCCGTCCACCCAGAGGGCGCCCCTCTGCAGGGGCTCAGAGCCGCCCTGGGGAAGCCTGGGGCCAGCCAGGGGGCCTTCTCTAGAGCCTGCAAGTTTCCACCCCATCCCCGAGCTGGGAGCCAAGCTCTGCTCCCACCTTTGAAATCTCCGCCGCTGCAGCTTCCTTCCGGGCAGGAGCAGACTACTGCCTCTCCCGGCGGCGCCGGCGCCCTGCTCCAGCCTTCCCGGCGGGAGCCGTGACCCACGCACTGACCCCCACTTCAGCACAGACCGCCCCCAAAGTTATCCAGACTCCCCAGACCTCGCCTCGTCCTCGGTCCCGGACCCCGCCCAAGGCTTGGGCCGGCGTCTGCAGGTGGAACCTGTCTGGTCCAGGGCGGAGGGCGCTCACTTCGGAGATCTCGGGCGCACGGAGGCCGTGAAAACTGCAGTACCGGAGGTGTGCAAATCTATTGTGAGCCCGGTCTCCCCGCCGCTGGCTCCTCCAGCCTGCCCTGCCTCCCTCCTCCGAGAGGAAGAAACTTCCCCAACACCCACCTTTAGCCGCGAGGAGGCGGCGCCGCCGGCTGCCCCCGCCGCCGCCGCCACTGCCGCCGCTGCCGCTCCCCACGCCCAGCGCCAGCAGGAGCGGCACCCAGTACAGCCTCCCAGTCAGCATCCTCGCCGCCGCCGCCAACGAGCTGCCGCTGCCGCCTGCTGCCCGCGCCGGCTCTCGCCTCCAGGGCACGCCGCGCCACGGGCCGCCTCGCCTCGCCGGCTGGGTGCACTTCGGGTGCCGCCGCGCTCGGCCTCCGGTGCCCGCCGCCGCGCCGCTGGCTCGCCGGCAGCAGCCGCGCTCACTGGCGCGGACCCGGAGCCGCTCCGCGCTCACCCCGGGACGGCCCGTGACGTCACGGAGGGAGGGAGGCGGCTCCTACATATTCATGAGACGCGGACACCGGCTTCGGATTCTGCGCTCCCGGCTCCGCGGCCCCGACCCCCAACTTTCCTCCAGCGTCCTCCCGCTCCAGTTAGGGCTCGGCTCCCAGAGGACGCTGGTGGGCTGCTGCAGGGAGCCCGCGGCAGGTGCCTCGGCTCTGGCTCTCCAAATAAGGTCCTCAGGAGATGGTGGGCTCCCACGAAAAGTGGTCACCTGGGGCCTGAATGTCGTCTGAGGGGACGCAGGGGACCCTGCCCTGCCACGCCCTTGGAGCTGACATCCGTGCGGAGGGGCTGGCGGGCGTCGCTGCGGGTCCTGCCCTCGGCCCGGTCTCTGGCAGCTCTCTGCCGCCTGGACTGGGGAGGGCGCCAGGCCCACGCTGGAGCTGGACAGCGCGAGCGCTGCTCTCCAGTTGTCAGGCAGGGCAAATCGCCGTGGACCTGGCGGGCAATGGCCAGACTCGCACCCTCTTGTAGAGGCAGGGGCAGCCACGACTCTCAGAGGCTGAGGGAGCTCTCAAGGCTCTCAGAAGCGGCAAACTTGGGGTGCTGGGCCTGCCAAGGCTGCAATGAGGACCTAAATATCCTTGCGGTATGGTGCCCAGGCAAGAAGTTACCACCTTTATGACAAGAGGTTGTCACTCCCCATGCCTAAGACCAGGCCATCTGACATCACGCCTTGTAACATCACATGCTGCTGCGTAATTGTCCGTTCCCTGAGTGCTGGGACCACAGACGCATGCCTTGAGGATCCCCCACCACCCACAGGCCACACAAGGTTCATCAGGATTAACTTGAGGCTCAATCTAAATCCTTGGCCATATTTGCACATATGCAGGGCCAGTGTCACAATTCAGGGTTCATAGCAATCGACGGGGAAATAAGATAGATAGAAAAAACAACGAAAGTCTTTTATTTATTCATTGATGCAACACACTTACTGAGCACCCAGACTGTTTGTATCATCCTGCCAGTGGGCTCTCGATTAGACATTAGGGATCCCAAGACCAAAGAGAGTTGTCTGTCTTCTCAAAGCTTTTGTTCCCCATCTGGGGAGCGAGAGAGGGCAGTAAAAGGCAATTACAATGATTTGTAAGTGTTACCGCCCTGCACAATCTCTAGGTTGCTAGTTGTGAGCCTATACAAATCAATTAACAAAATATATGTATTGCAACGGTGTCTAAACAGCATCCTATAAATAATAACTGTAGCTTGGGGTACTCAGCAAAGCCATAAAATCCATTAATAACCCTCATGTTGCTCAGCCTCTGCCCCACTCTGGCAGCTCACCTGGAGCCGCTGCAGGTGTGAAGGCCAACTCTTCTGCATCTCCAGGCACCAGGAGATGTTTGGGGGTGGTGGGAGGGGGGCAACTGTGAATCACAGTGGCTGCAGGAAGGCTCAGACCAGGCAGAGCACTTCACCTACAAATCTCCTTTAACTTATACAGCCAACATCTCTGCTATTATTCTCATTTCTCACATGACAAAATATAGACATGGGGAAGTTAGGGCAACTTCCTTGTCCAAAGTCAGAGAGCTGACAAACGCTGCAGACCAACACCAGGATCTTGCCTCTTTCAGACTTGGTGTCAGGATTCAAAAAGGATGGCATGGAGAAGGGGAAGCTGACATAGGAAAAAACTCAAGGAAACCAACAAAAAGAGGAGAAATTTGAATTTTTCTCATTTTCTTCCATTTACCCTCCATCCAATTACATATCTGGCTTACCTTTATTTTCTTCAATAAGTAGATTAATCTTACTGATCCACCTGCACTGTCCTTTGAGGTCATTCTATGGGGTTTCATTGGGATCAATTAGTTAGTTCCAAAAATTATACATTCAAATACAGACCAAATAATGAGAAAGAAAGGGAAATACAGCTGATTGGAAAGCATCCCCACCCCCAGTAGTAGATTACAAAGAAAGAACACAGCAGAGAAAGACACCAGGGGCAGAGCAGTGACCCAAAGGCACAGCATTGCTAGCTAGCCTCCATCTCCTTCTCTACAAATGGGGTAATATTGATGCCTATTGTGGAAAATCAATCAATGGCCCCCATTTGTTCATGCCATCCTGAATTCATTCCCTTTGGATACACTCTCCAACCCTAAATCAGAGCTTGGCCATATGACTTACTTTGACCCATAGACCCGTAACATGCATGTTTCTTCTTCCTTTCTTGGACCCCTGCCACTAGCACAAGAACAAGCCCATGGCAAGCTGCAGGAGGGTGAGAGATAACAGGGAGTAGAGCTAAGCTGTGCAGCCCTCCAAGACCACCCAAGGCTGCTCAGCACCAGCTGACCCACCAGTTCACCACAGACACATGAGCAAGCCCAGCTAAGATCAGCCAAGCCTGGCCCACATCAGAGCTGCCCAGTAGACTCATGAGAAACAATAAATAGCTGTTGAATTAAGCCTCTATGGTTTTCTTTAAAGGGGGGCTGATTAGGGAGCATTACAGCTACTTCATAAGGTCATTACAAAAAGTAAATGAGACAATGTACGTGAAACCCTCAGTATGGTGCCTGGCATATAGTCAATGTCCAAAAAAAATAAAAAATCTCCCTCTTAACCCTACTTCCCAAGTCTCTGAAATGCCATTTGGCAGATTTGTCTCATCTGAAAGAAGGGCATCCACAACCTGTCTGGGGATGAAAGTGAGTAAGTTCAGCCTTGGAAATACTCAGGCCACAAAGCTTCAAGCCCATGTCATCTGGTCCCCATTTGTTCATGCCATCCTGAATGAACAAATTCTGTGCCCTCTGGAACACTGCTGTGCCCTCTGCTTCTGATGGGCTACTGCAGATGCAAAACGTGAGCAAAGCAACCCAGCAGTTTGTGTGTCTCCACTTACTTGGTGCTAGGCCTTGCAATGGGGGTTTTACAGCCCATACTTCATTTAATCCTTGCAACAGCAGGTGTTACTTTCCCTACTTTATTATAATCGGATTACCAACTCGGAAAGTTTGAGTAAATTATCTACATTCACAAAATTGTGCAGAATATGAGTCCATATCTGCCCAATTCAAAATTCCATCTTTCTCTCATACATCATGGTTTTGAAAGAGGCATGTAGGAAAAGTAAGCAACAGAAGTAGCTTCAAATCAGAAAAGGTAGCGTTTGGGATTCAATTTTTTTTTTTTTACATTTCTATCCACCATCACCTCTGAATAATGACCACTTAAAATAACCAATTGTTATCAAAGTAGTGATACAAATCTGACTTTGTTGAGGCTGCACTCTTTATTCTTGACTTCCTATTAGGGCATGTTCCTTTAAAGACCTTGTTCAAGAAATGCTGAGCAGAATGATGCAAGGCCTTGGTCACTTTAAGCCCCAAGTCCAGGGCCCCACCTGGTGATGCAGTAATGAATTTCAGACAATTTATTTGGGTCAATAGTTTTTAATAAATAAATAACTCTCCTGTTCCAGAAAATAGAATCTCACAGGAACAGGCCTGACATAAACACAGCCATACCCTCTCACTTTCACCAGGGTCATTAATGCCTTGCCCAATTAAACACGAAAACATGGCCCCTAAGTAATTTAAACTAGATGAATGAAGGAAATAAATAAATTATGTCAGCTTACGGAATGTTATTTTTAAAAAGAAAATTAAACTAAGGCTTTCTACCTGATCCAAATTTAATTGAACTACAAGTACTTCACTTAAAAGGAAAGTTTGAAAGTCTGACCCTTCAAGAACTGGAGTCACTTATTGTTCCCCTCCCCTTTCACCTTGGTAGGCAAAGCAGGTCTTGGTGACCCACAGGCGACGGGGCAGGTGACAGAACTGTCAGCATCTCTCAGACGCTTTGGTACCAGTTTTGATACTTCTGCTGCCAAAGTGGTTTGTTTTTGTTTTTTGTTTTAACTTCAGGTTTTCTCTTCAGGAGAAAGCAAGACAAACTTGTTCGTGACCAAATCCAGCTCATGTTTGACGTTGTTTAGACAGGAGTGTTTTACACTTGGCAAAGCAAAGTTCCCTGATGAGAAACAAAGATGTCATTGATTATAGCCAGCAATTATTCTGGTACACTCCCCTGTATTTTCCTTGGACTTTTATACCCTGTAGTGTTTTGTTTTGTGTTTTAAAGCAGTCATGAAATTCAAATGACATGTCTCCCATCAAGGGATAAGATCTATCTTTCCTCTCCTTGAATCTGAGCAAGCTTGTGACTGCTTCTACCAATAGAATTTGGCAGAAGTGATGTTATGCAACTTCCCAGACTAGCTCTTAAAAGTGATGCAGCTTCTGCCTTATTTACTGGGATGCTCCCTTTTGGAGCCTGGAGCCTCCATGCACAAAGTCCAAAGCCCCTGAGGCTGCCATGTGGTAAGGATCTAAGGCCATGGAGGAAGGCCACATGTAGGTGTGCTGACAGCCCCATCTGAGTCCAACATTTGAGTCATCCCAGAACTCCAGAAAATTCCATTTTGTAGCTGCTGAGTCATGTTCTACTGTTAGGACCTTCCCAGCTGAAGCCTCAGACATTATGGAACCATCAAGCCATTCCCACTAAACCCTGCCCAAATTCCTGACCCACAGAATTCATGAATGTAATAAAATGGTTATACATGCCACTAAGTTTTAGGGTGGCTTATAATGCATCAAAAGTAACTAGAACATGTTTATTTCCATTTGTTCTCTATAGCGAAGGCTGGGGAGAGGGAAGTATGTTGCAGTAAGTCATGTATATTAGGCTCATTTTGTAGCTCAAATGTTGAGACTTGTAGAGGCCAAGAAAATAAACCAGTAGAGCTTAAAGGAAAGAGAAGGACTTCTAGAGTCAAACAAACCTAGGTTCCAAACCCAGCTCCACCATTTCTAACTATGTATGACTCAAGGAAGCTACTTACTCAGTTTGAAGCTTTGTTTCCTCATTTACAAATTGGGGCTGATGAAACAAGGTTGTTTTAGGGTTAAATGACCTGTAAAGAGTTGATCCTGCCAG